GACCTCACTGTGTTGGGTTTGAAGCACCGCGGAGGGCGCAACTCACACGACTCGTCAGGCTAAGGAACCAAGTGTGAGGTAGTATTGACACTGGCTTATGTAAGTGATTTTAGTGATAACAGATTTTAGTGATAAAATACTGCATATACTGCGAGTACAATCCTAAAAGCGGCCCCTGCGACTCCACCATCATTGAATGACTACTGTGTAAGATAAGATAAGATACAAATATAAATTATAATTATAAATATCTGTGTATCTGAACAGAGAACGCATAAGATACCCATTTGTGTTTTGCATAGTTGCCAGCACAGGTGCTCTAATTCTTTGCAACGTCTCTACACAAGTCGCATTTACGAAAGCAACCCCCTATCTCAGTTACTCCAAGGCTAATTAATTCACTGTCATACACAGCACAGTGTGGGCCTCAACTTTGTCGCAGACAAACCGTTGGAACAAAACTGTTAAGTCAAGGCATTCAAGAACTGTTAAATGATTGTGTACCACGTAAACATTGCATGCAGTGAATCTACTGACAGAGTTTCTGCATGATATAATAGTGTTCGATAACAATAATAATAATAGTGTACATTTTATAATAAAATATAATAATGTTAAATTACAATGACGTAAGAAATATACAGATTATAATGATATTTAAGTCTTACATAATGAATATTTGTGATGTTTGATAATAATAACACCGATGATGTACACAATATGATAGTGTTTTATCATATTAAAATTGTGCATATACATTATATAATGGTGTTTAATCGTAATAACAGACCGAATGTGAATAGTATAAAGCGCATAATGTAATAATGTTTGAACATAAAACAATAATGCATCTGCTACATAGTATATTCAATTCACGAATCTAGTTTGTAAAGAACTTCGCGTGTTGTTAAAGCATTGTACACGATCACACGTGGGGTTGTAGTAAATCTGCTCTGTCATGTATGCTGCGTGTGTCACGATTTACGAAATACCTACAACTCTGGGAAAAGATTAAATTTGTTCATTAGGAAAATAACACGTTGCGTATAATTATATTCGTATATTTGATATTGTGAACATTACTTTAAGATAAACTGATTGCATCGGAACCAGGGCCGGTCTTGCCGTAAACTCCGAAATCAATCGGCGTATTTACAATGACAACTCAAGGAGGAAAGGAAAGATTTATTTGTGCAGTAGACTGAAGTATATACTGCCGATCGGACGCAATTTAATAAGGCGTGGACATGAAAATCATTTTTTTGGTGTGGCATTTTTTGTTGTTGCGCTGAGACCGGTAATCATCTACAGCTATCGTCATTGCTATCACTGTTTGAGTCACTGTTTCTATGTGAATGCTGGAACTGCTCATCAATTCGTCAAATTAAGTCCGTTTTGTTGAACCCTTAGGTTTTCTCATCCACTCTTTGAAGAACTGGAAACAAATTACTGTTGACATAGTTGAAATACATTTGCTATGTCTATGCTTTTTGGCAGTCATCACCAACATGACCCTGACGCATGTAAATTACTGCAAATCAGATGTATATGCAAATTAACATTTAGAATTTTCGGAACCAAAAAAAAATGAAAAAAAAAGAAGACATAAAATAAATTTCGTTCTGATTTTCACTAATTCATATTCAAATTGGTAGTAATCGTTTATAATGTTACAAATTGCTTGATATATCGATATGAAAAATATACCGGTATGTCCAATTAAATTTTTTGACACTACTTGACCCTGTGATGGGGCGGAAATTGTGCCGAAATATGTGCACAGGTCACAGAGCATGTTAACCCCCTGAACTCAGTGGAATAAGTATGGTGAATAACGGTTTATCTGGCCTCTGGTTCTTAGTGTTGAACTCATTGCACCTGCTGTCTGATACCAATGCTACTAGAAACAGCGTAAGAAACAGACACCCATGACAATAACAAAGACCAAAACACTGGGGTAGAAAAATGAAGTTGCATTTGCAACTGATGCTCGGTGGTTGTGACAAAGACTGATAAGGTGACAAAGATGGCAGATCAACAATGATGAGTTCACCTGGGGCTTTCTACCGAGGTGATGATGCCTGGGAACCAACTCTCATAAATTCTTTCAACAAGCCCAACAACAACAACTGGCTGAATCAGAGGCGTTCCAATCAGATGCAAACAAACTTGTGAGATACAGACTTCAGGTGACTGATTGTAGCACGAAAATCCCCTATAATATTTAGTGTTACAGGTTCCACTTCGAGCAAGACCATGTTTGGACTAATTTTACAGACCCAAGGTAGCTCTGTGGCAGTGTTAATTGTCAATTCTCAGAATCTCAATCAATTCAAGCAACACAACATGAAATACAGACAGATCCCCAAGTCAGGTGACAATAAGATTTATGCACTGGTGTATAATCTTTTAAGTACCTTGGCTCCAGAATCAGGGGAGACTGCTTTGATTTGTTGATACTGTAAAATACTTAATTTTCACTTGGATTATATTTACGTTGAAAGGCTGAATTAGTGAAAATAAAATCCAGTGAATACACCTTTTTTTCCTATATTTTAATTAGTGAAAATTTTGTGTAAATAAGTTTCATACAAAACACCCAAAAAGCCTTTTCGGCGAAAATTAATTTCAGCTAAAATAAAGTATTTTACAGTACTTTCTTCAAAGACAAAAAACCTGAACAGACACGAGAACCACTCAGCTTATCTAATGCACTATTGAATGTGTGTGATAGAAGACTAGAAATGTACACAGCTCCCGTTTCGGCTCTACTCAGAGAACTGTATACATTATAAAGGTGATCAAGGGCTGTGTCATTAACAATCTTCAGTGACAGCAAGAATCGTGATTAAATCCATGTTTAATGGTGATATCTAATTTTGTTATATACCTGTCACTGTAACGCCATAAGTTACAGCGTGCCGTAATTTTGTGCGTTTTTTTGGGATATTTTCATTCTAGGAAATGCGAATTCCAAATATGGAATAATTACGTGCATAAGCATTCTCTAATACTGTAAAAGGACTAATTATTAACTGGATTTTTAATTTTGCTTATTTCGCTGTCTGGAAAATGCGCTAAATTAAAATCCAGTGAATATGTGAAATTGAGCATAGAACACATTATCTAAATGATAAAACCGTGAATTTAAAACCCACTGAATATGCCTGAAATGCCAAATCAGTTAAAATTTCAACCCAGTGAAAATTAGTCATTTTACAGTAAAAAAACAAACATGGCTGCCAACCAGAATGTGACCGGACTCCACACAAAGATGTTCATCCCCATGGTGTAAAATAATAAAGTTATTGCGAGGACACCTCAAAGTATACACTCAGACAGTACGTCGCACATTGACCCCCGCTGCGCATCGGTCGATACTATAACTGTACTGTCTTCGTGCATACTTTGAGGTATCCTCGTAATAACCTCATAATATCCAAATAGTGGTAGTAGTTGGCTAAAAACAGCAGCACTTTATAAAGTAGTGATAACGCAGACTGTGAATCCCTTTAAAGCATTTATTTAGAAATAAATTTAATTGACATAAGTTCATACCTTAACTAAAAATAAAATCTGTTTTCACAGTGATGATAAACAAATCAAGGACATACCGGTACATGCTGATACTACACTGTATGTAAAGTTATTTAGAATATAAAGATATAACTCGTCAAAATTCAGCCATATGTGTCAAAAATAATGTAAACTTTCTAACAGACTGTTACGTTATTGCTTTTAACACTCCCAAGTAAGAAGGGATACTGCAGACCCTAACAGATAATTTGAATCCTACAGCAAAAAAAAAATGTGAAGAAGAAACTGCAACTACATTGAGCTGATATAATGAATAAAGTTAAGGGCAGAAAGCTGTGGTTGTTAAAAACGATTTTAATGGATGTTAATGGATGTTAGAATTGAAATAATTGAGTTTTCAGGCGTGGTCCATGGTTGTTATTTATTGAACACTGGCCACAGAAAGGGGGAAGGTGTTGATTTTACAACCGGTCATATGGGAGTCTGTTTGCATCAGTTATTTGTAAGTGTAATATATACGATTGAACATTTTCACAGAGGTAAGCACAGATACCATAGGAATATTTTGTCCATATTCATTTTGAGTATATGAACGTAAAATGGCCTTTTTAAGCAAACTTGTCTGAAATTTGACAACCCACTGAAAAAATTGGCCAACAGACATGATTATGCGTAATAGTACATCTTTTTTGATGGAATTAAAATTGATTAGCATTGTCATTGATTTCCATAACACATTTTCAATGATGAAACAGAAATGATTACAACAAATATCCTGGTTCTTTGATCTGATAGGTCAAATCTTATTAATCAATCAGAATGCAGTGTTGTACTGATGCTTTTTTTCCAGGAATTCCTAAAATCAATATTGTAACGCAATGTGGAAGTGAAATTTAAATGCAGAAGTATGATCTGTTAGAATTGATTTCAGCAAAAAAATGGCAAGTTCTTTTTTTTAAATATCAATGGTAATTATCAGTAGCAATTTTCGAAAGCTATTTACTGTCTTTCATGTTTGTTGACAGGTTATTGTCGAAGCATAGTTTATGCACAGTCTACAAATTCACTTGATATTTACGGTGGTCGATATCAACACTGTATTATATAAATTTGATTACCAGTATTGTACTTGAAAAAATCAAACAATGTTCAGTTACCAGGTTTTATGACAAGGTAGTCAAATTTAGAGCATTTTGAAAAGGATTGTTGCATAGCCGAACGTGAACCCAGAAATAGTAATGCCCCAAAAGTGGGGAGCAATTAGTCAAGCATGGGCGCTGAGTCAGACAAGCATGGTGAAATTGTAGTAATTAATCCCTGTATCTTAATAGCCTGATCTAGCCTTCAATTTTGTATTAATTACACTCATATCATCTCTGATGGACGGTGTTTACAATTTTTTTTATAAATACATTTATAAACAAAACCTCAGCTTTGTGCCCTTCACTGTATGAAATAAAGTTTAGATTGTAACAAGGGTAGCATCCGTAGCTACACCACAGTTGTTGTCTTTCTGGGACATCAACACAAATCCATTCATTCCCCAGTAGGTGGACCAGGAATTCTTCACCAACCAGTAGCTTTGGTTAGCCATGGTACCGTATCCAACGGCCAGGACAGCATGGTCCAAATTTTCAGGTTTATTTCCTACAATAGAATAATATACATAGTGATATTTTATTTTATCCCAGTGTGCTGGGTTATTATGTAGCATTTCATAATTTTAGTAATTTGATCTGTTTTAAATCTAAGGTACATCAGTTCATTCTTGAAAGTTAAATTCCGATATTTTATATGTGTATGTATTTTATCGTATATTTGTGTATGTTATTTATTGTATTTTGATGTATGTGTGAGTGAGGAGCCTATAAATGGGACTTGTGCCCGTAGGTCTTTTCAAATAAATAAATAAATATGGAATTTTTATTGTCATGTCATATGTATTTTTAGAATAACCTGTCATTTGTTTAATTATAAAGTTGTTAAATTTAGTACCAAGTGACCTACCACATTCTTCTTCATAGTAGACACCATTAGAATAGAATGATAATGACCTGTGGGAGGCATCAATGCTGACAGACACAGGGCCATAGTTGGCTATGGTTTTCTTCAAAGAGTCAATATCACCACTTGGTACTTGAGTATAGTTGGATATCTTAGTAGCTACCATAGACTTGTTGAAATGACACAAACCATTCTGAAAAAAGAAAATATCAATATATTATATCACTTACATTGTAGTTGTATTGTCTGTAAGACTTAGTTGAAGTCCTGGGCATAGGCAATAACTTGAGCCATTAACCAGAATCAGTTATTGTGTTCACGAGTTATGTATGTTAAAAACTGCTTTTCTTCTGTTATTTATTTGCCATGGTAATGGTTGACATGTTTGACAAATTTTGTGTGTGAAAGGAAGTTCATAACCTTTTTATCAGGATTTTAGACGACAGGTTAACAGGTTGACTAGAATAACGAGTTTTTACAAGGATAGTCTAACTTCAGCCATATTTATCACTGTGAAATATAAGTAGATAATATCATGTATATATGCCAGTATTGATTTACCTTCCAATGTTAGATTAGTAGACTAACCTGTCCTAAGTATGGTCCATACTGTTCTTCACTAGCAATACCACCATTGTCCATTACCCATTGATATGATCTAAACTGCTCTCCACCAAAACAACCATTGTTACCGTAACCCCAAGAACAATCTACCAAATTCTGCTGTGATAACCTCACCAGTTTGTTAGACTGCAACAAAATTGTTATACATGATATATATGCAGATATTTTATCTGATAATCTGTTAGAAATATAGTGATAGGGAATGAGGAAACATTTTGCATAACTTAATTTTTCTGTAAGTAATGCAAATAATTTTGCCTGATGATATTCAAAACATGATGGACTGATGCCAACCAATTATAACATTTTCAAAAACACAGCACCTAAAATAAATT